ATGATCTGTCTATTTGTGATAGAGGGGTGTTGAGGTCCCCTACTACAATTGTATTATTGCTTATTTGGTTTTTTGTGTGCATTAATATTTGTTTTGTATAGTTGGGGGCATTTGTATTTGGTGCATATATAATTATGATTGTCATCTCTTCATCTTGGACTGTTCCCTTCTTTGACCATCTTTGTCTCTCTTAAGTAGTTTTGGTTTGAAATCTACTTTGTCTGTAAATAAGGTTGCTACCCCTGCTTTTTTCTGGGATCATATCACATGGAGCACTGTTTTCCATCCTTTTACTTTCAGTCTATGAATTTCTTTTTGATTTAGGTGTGTTTCTTCTACACAGAATATTGCTGGATTTTGCTTCTTAATCCATTCTGTTCATCTATTTCTTTTGATTGGTGAATTGAGGCCATTAACATTGATAGTTATAATTGATAGATATTGACTCATCCTTGTCATGATGTTTTACTATTGTTGGCTGTTTTATTTCTTATCCCCCCCCCTTTCCTTTTAGTTTCTTACCTTGCCTGGTGGCTTCCCTCTGTTGGGCCTCATGGAGTTGCGACCTTCGTTGTCTTTTTCTAGGATATTGCTTAGAGTTGTTTGGAGTGCTGGTTTGGTGTTCATGAAATTTCTCAGGTGTTCTTTGTGGTGGAAGTATCTAATTTCTCCATCGATTTTGAGAGATAATTTTGCAGGATACAACAGTCTAGGTTGGAAGTTATTTTCTTTTAGGGTTTCAAATACTTCACTCCAGGCTCTCCTTGATTTGTAGGTTTCTGTTGAGAAATCTGCCGTGATTCTGATGGGCTTTCCTTTGTAGGTGATTTGTTTCTTTTCCCTAACTGCATGTAGGATTTTGTTCTTCTGTTGGGTTTCTGGGATCTTAACTATTATATGTCTAGGTGTAGATTATTTGTGATCATGGCTAGCTGGAGTTCTATATGCCTCACTTATCTGTATGTCCAGTTCTCCACCTCTGTCTGGGAAGTTTTCTACTGTTACTTCTGTGAACAGTTTCTTTATGTCAATTGTACTTTCTCCTGTTTTTTCATGGGCTCCTATCAGTCTCATGTTATTCTTGTTTGTATCATGTAGCATCTGCTGGATTGATTTTTCATGGTCTCTTACTATTTTTAAGAAATCTCTGTTTTCATGGTCTGTAACCATAATCCTGTCTTCTATATCTGATATTCTATCTTCAGATTCTCTTAATCTGCTGTGCATGCTTTCAATGGAGTTTTTAATCTCCTGAATATCTGATTGAATCTGTTTCATGGTTTCCATTTCTTTCTTATGCTGGGCAATCATGGTTTCCATTTCTTTCTTATGCTGGGCATTCCTGGCTTCCAGTATGTTTCTGAGCTCATCTATTTTTTTTTTAATCTCTTTCTGTTCTAAATCCTATAATCATGTGTTTTACTCTGCTCACCATCTCTGTAGTTATCTGGGAGATTATTTCTGCTTTGAATTTTTCTAGAGCTTCATTCATCTGTTTTGCTACTTCCTGTGCTATCAGTTCAGGGTGTCCAGGTGGTTGATTATCAGACTTTTCACCTCATTTCCCCTAGAAATTGCCTTTCGTAGGGTGGAAGTCTGAGTTTGTGCCTTACTTAAATGTCTTCTCATTTTTGTTTTTGGTACTGTCCCTGGTTTAGTTCCTGGGTTGATACTTTGAAGTCGCTTATTGCTAGTATCTTTGTTGATGTATTTAGAACCCCTATGGAATGATTTCTTTACAGAGGTATCTTACTGGTATAGCTGGTTTTTAGGTTTTGAATCTCTAATGGCTTTGAGGCTGTCTCATTTTCAGTATTCCAGGAAGGACAACTGAGTAGATCAATCAAAACACCTTAGCCCAAGTTATACAATCAGCAACACAATAGCATCAAGTACCTCTTAGATAATAACAATTTGTGGTAGTTATTAATCTATCACCTTTAACTGTGTGAATTAAATCAAAATCGAGGACCAACCCACCATATAATTATAGTGAAGAAACTCTTCAAAATAGCAACTTTACCCTACAGGATGGGGAGATAGAAGGAGTTGGGGAGGGAGGAATGGGTAGGTAAAAGGATAGGGGAAGGTTAGCAGTGAGGCCAGAGGGAACAGGTGAGAGAAGGAAAGAGAAGAAAAGAAAAATAAAGAAGAAATATGAATTAGGGCCAGAACAGGTACACAAAGGGAAATGAAGAACAATGTGGGACAGCAAGGGAGTGAGGGAGAAAGAGAAAAAAAAGAGAAAAAAAATTAAATGAGTAGAAAAAGAAGAAAGACAATTAAAAATAAGAGCAAAAAACATACTGGCAATTTTGAAAATAACAAATAAAAGATAAAAATGAAGGGCCTCCTTCAGGGTATGTCTCTGCTATCACAATAGACAATGTGGGCAGCAGTTTGCAGTTATAAGTCAATGAGTCTCAGTAAGCCAGTCACAGACCCATAAGATTCAGGCAGGTTTCTGGCTGTAAGCCCCAAGTTGAGCTCCCTGTCCTCCGGCAGGGTTGAACTCTGCAAGGTTCTATTGCAGGTTCCAACTGCCTTTCCCCTGAAGATAGTCCAGGTTCTGATGGGAGGCGATGATCCCTCCAACTTACCAAGTATGGTGGTCTGGTGTGCCTTTATTGCAGAGATTCTCTTTACTTTTCCAGGGGGCTTCAGTTTTCATCAGGGAGCGTGAGAGAAACCCTCTCTCTGTTGTTCACTTCTGCAGCTCAGGACAATGGCCTTTATGTCCCCCTGTGCCTCTGTAGTGTGGAACCAAGTAGCTGCACAGCCAAGAGGCCAGAGGCAGGGGTTGGTGGTGGGGTGTTTATTGTTGCAGGTGCCAGTGCAGCTACACTGGTGGCTGGTGGGCATGCCCCAAGTTTGTGTTGTTTTAAGCCAGTAAGTTTGTGATAATTTGTAACAAACTAACCAAATATACTAATACATGAATAGACCCACTGTGTTCATCAATGAAAACCACTGTCTCAAGATAACTCTCTTTAAAGGCAAAAAGGATTGAAGAACTATTTATTAAGAGTTGGAAAGATGCAAAGCACAGATTCTCTTTTAGAAACTTAAACTGAATTGGATTAAGCCTGACAAAATTATCTCATTCTGCTTATAGTTATTTTTAGTCAAGTTTTAACACTTTGCCTTTTTGCTTTTATAAAAATGTTGGAGAAAACTGTTATGCGAAAATTACTACTGAATTCAGTTTTTTTCCCAGTATTGTAGATGGAAGCCAGGGCCTTCTCACTGAGCTACATCCCCAGTCTTTTTTGAGACAGCATCTAACTTGCTAAATTACCCAGGATGGCATCTGAATTCACTTTTAAAACATTGAAAAAGCTACTCCATTTCTCTATGTTAAAGTTTCCGCTCAATTAGTACTTGTTGTATAACTACATAATCGAGAAAACAGCTTTGTTTTCTTCTGTTAAACTTCTATGTATTAGAAATATAAGAACTAATTACTGCTGATGATTCTTCTCCTCTTTCTCCTCCTCCTCCTCCCCTTCTTTTTCCTCCTCTTTTTCCTCCTCCTCTTCCACTTCTTTGACTAGCAGGAATCTAAGAGCTAATTCAAAATTCTGATATAAATGTTTGTTAAGAAGAAGACCAAGCGTACATGTTATTAGTATATTCTGTGTTGCTCCTTACTGATTTTGCATTTATATTATAAACACCCTGTGTTCTGGCTTCTAGTTATTTAAACTGTCTTTGTTTATGCATATTGTATGGCTTTATTTGATAAAGCATTTCAAATTTCTGTGGCTTTGAATGCAAATGTAATAAATAGTGTGCATTTCAGACCATATATTCTGATATATTTCAATTCAGACACTTCTAAGAATTTAGCCATGTACAATTTTTATATTAATCCCTAAGAAGAACAAGGGAAATTGAGGATTCTTGTTTCCCTGCTTTATTCACTTTTTCCTTCTTCTTCTTTTTGTTTGGTACCCGGGACCTTGTGATTGCAAGGCAGGCAGCAGCGGCACGATTAAGCTAAATCCCCACCACACTTTTTCCTTCTTTAAATCTGCAGATGCCATTTGTCCAAAGTACATTTCTGTGACACTTTCTGTTTCATGTACCTACAGTTGTTCAAGACATGAAAATTATTTCAGGGGAAAATACACAGGATTTAGAGATTGATTTATCTTTAGTATTTTTCACAGAATATTTGTCATTATTGTCTATGTTGGATCCAATGGTGTATCACCACTCATATGCATGCAAAAAAACAGAAAAACCTAAAAAGCAAAAACAAAACCAATAATATCATCTCTGAGTTCCCAAGTCTCTAATCTGTGTCTTTAATTAGAAATAGGGCCTTTGAAGATTTAAGCTAAGGATCTCAAAATGACGTCATACTGAGTTTGGGGAGGATTCTAAATTCAATGACTGGTGTCCTTATAGCCAATGGATACGGTAACACAAAGAGAAAAAAGAAAAGCATATAAAGATGGAGATAGAGATGGGAGTCATGCTGCCACCAGCCCAGTAACTTTGGGACATTAGAAGTTGGAAAAGTTGAAGAATTTTTTTCTTAGCACCTTCAAAGGAAGCATTGCTCTGCTGACACTTTGGCTTTGGATGTTTAGGTTTCAGAACTCTGAGGAAATTTGTCTTGTTGAAACCATAAAATTTGTAGAAATTGGTTACAGCCACCTGAGAAAATTAAAATACTGTTTAATACTCTCTAACTACATTGGTATTGCACATTTTTCTTAGGCACTTTCTGTATTGTCATATTCACTTCTCCTTTGGTATTCAAAGCAGAAAATCAAGAAGAAGATAAAAGAAGGAGGAAAAACAGATGCCCAATAATAAGAAAAAATAAACTAAGAGAAGGAAGAATACAAGAAGGTGGAAAAAGAAGAAGAAAACCAAATAGCAATCAATGTATAAAACTGAGATGGGAAAGGGGCTCATAGATGTCTCACCGATATTTAGGTACACATTACTACTTCATTACTGAGTCAGGCATTTTTATTTTAGCAACTGAGCCCAGGTGAAAGGAATTATCCTTTTTCTATTTATAAAATTAAAGAGCTCTAAAGCACAGATGTTGAACAGACTGTGTTTGCACTTTGGCACCTCAATACCATTTCGCTAGAGTGAACAAATATGCCTACTCTCTTCAAATTGACTGGTGTGGAATTGTACCTGTAATCCACCTGTCTCACTTGCCTTGAATTAAAGGACTGAATCATAATTTTGTCTGTAGAGGAAAACTCTAGTATCAAGTTTACTGAGACTTACACCAGCCAAAGTGCTTTTAATTATGGTCTTAAACTCAATTTACAGCATAATTATACCATCTCATCTTCTTTTTCTCAGAAGTATCTTCATTATCAAAGATAGCTTTAGGCCTGCAGGGCAGTGGTTAAGACTAAATCTTCCCAACCTTGAGAATCCCAGGTTGGCTGAAAGCACATTTTCATATACTAAAATAAAGCAATCCATTCTGATATTGGCTCGGGAGAATGTTAATACCTGTTAATGAATTTTGTATTCTAGGGGAAATTTCCCTTAAAAGCTTCCCTGGTGTGGCTATCTCTTGAAGCTGGCCTGAAGATAGGAATTTCTTAGAATGAAAAGATTTTTTTGGTGTTAGGGAAATGTTTAAACATAGCCATTGATTCCATTTCCAAATGCTTAATAGAGATCAAAGTTACAAAAAGCAACTGTTCTCAAAGTTTAATAATATTGAACTCAATTTTCCCATACCAGGAGTTATGAACACAAAATATTAGTCTAAAAGTCTGTTCCAATGTTCTCCTTCTCCACTCTCAATTTCCTACATTGGCTCTCTGTACAGTTTTTTTTTTTCTAGAGTACTCCAAAAGGCCCTTTTCATCCAACATATTGCCTGCAGTAAATTGTGTATTTCCTAATTTGGAAAGGAAAATATGGTATGAATAAGCAAAAATAGATTCAGATACGTACTTTCAGAGGAAGCTGGGGAAAATGATTTCTGTGGAAGCTGACTCATGCCCCAAGATGTTCTTCTTGTTGGTTCCTAAGAAGGATCATAGACTGTCAGAGTTAACTCCGAGTATCTTAGGGTGAAATCTAGCAGCTAAGTTTCTAACATCATCCCATCTTGAGTGGAGAACTGAATGATCTGCGTAATAGCCCAGTACACTAGTTCACATGCAAAACTATATATGGTGATCTGGGTAAAACTAAAGTTTTAACAAAGGTTTATAGATATACTATCCACTTACCCTCCAACATTAGAGGCTAGATGGAACGTCTCCTACACATTCTAAATTTTCTACCCTGTGCTATTCTTTATGTTTCATTTCTACATCATTTTCAGTGACACTCACACACACATACACAAACACATATTCACACACAGAATTTCTCCTACACAAGACTTATGTGAACTATTATTCTATAATAAGGCTACTTTTCTTATAAAACTATTAACATTTTACCTCTATATTTTCATCAATCATCATTGTGAATATTACAAATTTAAATATATTTGATATTTACTAGGCTTATGTGCAAATTGATCAGTTTTATCTTGTACTCAGAGAGAACAAAGAAAATATGTTATCAATTGGGTAAAGGTAGTTTCAAAATAGGTGCTCTATTTGACCTTGACAATAACATCAACTTTTTCATATGCCATCAAAAAGTGTCATTGTTTGCATCTTTAATCACATTTCATCATGTGCATTATTAATATTATTTAAAAATGAATGCCATTTAATCCCATAGTAATTCATATAACTGTACAATTATAATATGTACAGGGCATGCATTGCTATTTGATCAAATTTTAAACATCGGTGAGTGCTATAAAAGTAATTATTTGATTTAGTCAATCTTAATAGGATGAGAGTGTGTCAGACTAAAATGATGAGTGTCAAAATCCACAGACTGAGCAACTTAGAAATTTTAATGCAAAGATCTTCTGCTACCAAAGGCAAAAATACTCACTTTTCTTTTAATGTCCAAGATTATGTGAACATGAATATCCTTTACTTTGTACTGAGATACAGTGGCGGTGCAGAGGTACTGAGAAGTTGTAGTGGCTGAAGATGTTCTAACCACATTTCCATGACTGCAATGTTACTTTAATGTTTAGGGGAGGAAACAAGATGAAAACAATTTCTTTCCCCCATGTAACCTTGACTGATAACTGCAACTATTTTTTTTTCTCTATTTGGCAATCAACAGTTCAAGTCTTTACTTGAAATATATCACAAATGGGAAACAAAAACTTTATAACAAGAAATGTAAGAGAGAACCATGATAATGAAATAAAATCCTTCCTGAGGATCTTGCCTCCCCTGTTAAGATGTTTATTGATTTCATTGAGAGACTTTGAAGCATGAACAGATTTGAAAATAGCAATAGCAAATGTGCAAGTCCCTCCATTTATCAATATTTGACTTCTGCATTCATTGATATTTGACAGATATTTATGATTTCCAAGTGGAGCACTGTTGTTTATTTGGATTTTCATTTATAATTTGAAATAATCTTCCCAGAAGAATATTAAATATTGAGCTTGACACATCAGTTGAACTTGAATCATTATCTATTTCTGAAATATCCCAATATGAAATATTAGGTGCTTTTCTGTCAACCTGGAATATTTCTGACAGTGAATTTTAAATAGATCATTAATGTTCACACTTCTGTTGCATGATGAAAGATTCAGTTGAAGATTGAAGAGCCTTGTTAACTTTCTGAGCTGCATTTCACTTTATAGATCATAGATCATGTAGCTGGAAGAATTATAGTTACTATTTAGGCTTGAAACCCCAAAAAGTTTAAAGAGCTTAAGTGATTGTTAACCTACATCGTGGAATTTATATAAGCAAGATAGTCATTAAGTTCTGAAAACTATAGAAAAATAAAATATACCAGAGCATATGCAGAAAACATTTCAAAACGTATGAATGGCATCATGCCTAGTTCTTTCAAATGAACTAGTACTCAAGAAGTTGAGAAATGTGTTCCATCAGAATGCCAGAACAGGTGTAACTAGATAATTGAAACTTTATTAAACACAATTCCTAGAACAACTTAGTGCTATTTGGACAATTAACTTCCTGTTCTGTCAATAGTGAAAAGTTAGTGAAATGTTTCAAGAGACTTTAAATAGTAAGATTTGATAAATATTCATTCATCAAGTTCAATAAATGTTTTTATAAAAGTAAGTATGTTAATATGTTCTATTATGCTGATTGAAACTGTGCAAATGGGAAAAGCCCAAACCATATAAATGGGAATGCATTTGCCTTCCAGTAATTTATTTTTACTTCCTGGTCTCCAAATTAATAGTAGCTAATATATGTCTGGAAACAAGGTCCATTTATTAAACTTCTCTCCAGTCTAAGTAAAGCTACAAATCACAATTAACGATATGGACATTTTTAAATAATAGCCATTTACCACTATTTTTGTACTATATAATTACTGTTACATGTTATGCTCCTGATTTCCTAATACTTTTTTTAAGAAAAAGCATATTTGTTTAAAATAATAAATACTTATAAGACGTGGGAATTATGAGACTTGTAACTTATACACACATACCTTTGTTCTTATTCACATTGGTTTTTCTCCTAAATATGGTAGGCATTCTATACTTAATGCAGCTTATAATTTTCCTTTAATAGCGATAAGCCCTTTATTTAATCAGAAGATGCACTTTATTATCATTTTATTATTCACTGAAAAAGTTGATGCATATTTCTGAATTGAAAAAAATGGCTATATTCCCCCTTTTTAAAAAAGGCATATTTAACTGAGATACCTGGTGTGTCAATATTAGTGCCTGTACCAATGCTAGTGAAGTCCTCCTTAATAGTAGTACCTCCATTTCATTAATTACTATAGACCATATAAATGTGCCTTAAGAATCTTGGTTCAAAAAAAAGCAAATCAACTGAGAAAACCGAAGGGTTAAAAACTTTTGAATTTTAAGTCAAGAATATGAAAAATGTGATTTTCAACCACAGATTGCTATTAAAAAGGTCAATTCAGCATGTATATTTGTTATCTCTAGTTCAATATGATGTATTTAAGAGACAATCTATGATTTTAATAAAGGTCACTAGAGTCAGAAATGCCAAATCTCATTAGTCTTACTCTGTTGATATAAAAATTACCTACTTGCCTGTGTGCTTAATGCAAGATTCCTTTACTTCTTTGTTAAATATTCTTTTTAAATTCCAAGTTTCTTGAAAAATGTTTTGTTCCAAGAAATGAATTTTTTAAAGTTATCATATTGCATATTTAAAACTAAAAACATTTCTGTCCTACTAGTAGAGACATTCTGTATTATTTGAACTGATTTACAGATACATTTCACAGTAACTAGGTTAAATGTTAGTAGAAACAAATGTATGCCTGCACACACCATAGGATTTCCTGAGGTTTTTTTTTTAATATGGAATTCTTTATTTTTTTTATATTTTTTTATATTGAATACAAGAACTTACATAGAAAGTTGAATGTTTGTGCATATGGTCACAGTGTATTGAGAGTAATTGGGACCAGCTGTTACACTTTGTAGTTTCTGAAAGCCTGTGTATTGCCTTCTAGCTACATTGACTTTGTGCAGGCCTTAATAAAAGAAATTAAAGAATGTGCAACCCTGAGTGACTTCCACGTCCTTCTTAAGAAGAGCTTTAATTCAGACCAGACACTGAAAGCATAGCTTTTCTGCTGCCATTTGTCTATAAACTACATATAGATGAAATAATGATTTGTTTTGTCATTATTTAGTGACTTGCAAAATTTAACCGTTCTCTTTGTTCCATTTAATTTTATCTTTTTATTGTACAGCATCTTAACAATGATGGAGTTCAAGATTTGTAGGCATACACATAACTTACTGTACCCAGTAACTCATTTTTCTTACCCTTGTATAAAATACCGTCTTTTATAATGTATAGTAAAATGACACATATTACATCAGACAAAAAATTTCATTTAAGAGACTCATGAGAGAACACTAATATTTAAAATTCCTTCTATTTCAAAATTTTAGTCTTTCATTAGTATTTAGTTATAATAAGAAAAAACATGAATTCAGGAGAGGATTTGGGGGAAATAACCATGACAACAATTTTCAATTTCACTGAATACCCACAGTGATAGGCAGAGTAATGACCTCCCAGATATCTACAACTTACTCCCTCAAACCTGTGAATATGCTGTCTTACATGGCAAAAAGGATCTTGTGGATGTAATTAATTTAAAGAGGTCAAAATGTGGGATCATCCTGGATTATCCAGTAGGGTTTATGCAATCACAAAAGAAAAAGGTAGTAATGTCAGTTAAAGAAATACAAGGAGCCTACACTGCTGCCTCTGCAGATGGAAAGAGAATACCTGAGCAGAGGACACAGCCAACCTTGGCAGCTAGAAAAGGCAAGGAGGTGGATTCCCCCCTGCAGGACCCACAAGAAACATGGTTCTACTAACAGTTTGGCTTCAGCCCAGTAAAACTCATTTTGGACTTCTGACCCCAAAGAACTAAGAAAAAATTGTATTGTTTCAAGCCACTGGGTTTATTTTTTTAATGTTTTCATAATTTTTTTAACTTTTTCATAAACTTATTAGTGATAATATCTGTGATTGCTTTGTGTGATATGGTGATTAAAGAAATAAGCATTTATGTGTGTCCTTGAGAAATAGGCTTCTTGGTATGAAAAGAAAGACAAATAGATGTCATTGGAAAGAGAATAAAAGCTGCCCAGTCTTGATTTTAATTTTCAAATTGTAAGTATAATTTCATGAAATACTGTATTTATCTATCCATCTATTTAACTGTATCTATTTATACCTAGATCCATATAGCTATACATAAGTTTCCTTGCTAGGTCTACTAAGAAAGCATTGACAAAATGGTCAATGCAATAACACTGAATATCTCTTGTACCCAGTTCAAATATGTTAAAATAGCATTTCCCATAAAACAAAACAATTTCCTGGAAAAAAAATGGCTAGCTCTAGGGTTGAGAGAGGACATGTTTATTATGAGTCA